AAAAATAATTGTCAGGATTGTGATGGTCAGATAAAATGTCACAAGCATTTTTTATTTAGTGGTGAAAAACACTCACTATTTCAATGCAACCTCGCAATTGTGAGGAAAAAAAAATATCTTTTTGGATTGTTTCCACCACATGATACGATTTTAAATAGGTGATTGTGACTCTTTATCTCACAATTGTGAGATAAAAAGGATAACATTTTTATCCTTTAAAATATTTTATACAATGGTCTGTCTAAATACTCGATTCTGATTGGCTGAAACAAGCTTCCAGTACTGTACCTCTATATGCAATATTAAAGGAATAGTTCACTTTAAAAAAAAAAACTTTTGCTGATAATTTACTCACCCCCATGCCATCCAAGATGTCTACGTCTTTCTTTCTTCAGTCGAAAAGAAATTAAGGTTTTTGAAGAAAACATTCTTCATATAATGGACTTCAATGGGAACCAAACGGTTCAAGGTCCAAATGAGAGTTTCAGTGCAGCTTCAAAGAGCTTTAAACAAGGCCAGACGATAAATAAGGGTCTTATCTAGCGAAACGATCGCTCATTTCATAAATAAATGACAAAGTTTAAGTTTTATAAGCACAAATACTCGCTTTGCTCTGTTCTGTGATGCGTGACTCTCCTGTTCAAAATTGTTCATCAAATGAACAAATCTTTTTTCGAGTCATGACTCGAAGGGTCCTAGATAAGACCCTTATTCATCGCCTGGGGTCGTTTAAAGCCCTTTGAAGCTGCACTGAAACTCTCATTTGGACCTTGAATCGTTTGGTTCCCAGTGAAGTCCATTATATGGAGAAAATCCTGGAATGTTTTCATCAAAAACCTTAATTTCTTTTCGACTGAAGAAAGAAAGACATAGACATCTTGGACGACATGGGGGTGAGTAATTATCAGCAAAAGTTTTTTTAAAAGTGAACTACTCCTTTAATTCATTTATTTTAATCATATATTTTTTATTACACTGCTTTTCTCTAAACTTTTCCACGGACTCCCTTGTAGCCTCTAGGTTTACGTTAGACCCCCTGGGAGGCTAATGTGAAGCGCATACTTGTGTCATCCTCCGTTTTGGTATCCTTTACGGTTTCAGTCGTCTCCTCGTCTCTTTCTTTATCCGTTTCTTCCTCTTTTCCTGCAGTTTTGTCCTGTTCTTCACTCACTCCCATAGACTCTACCCGCTCCGCGAGAGAGGACTGCGCCTCCTCTGCCGCCTGCATCTCTGCACACCTGAGGAGAAGCAGACGCTGCAAACTAATCATTTCATACTTCAAAAACGAATAGAATATTTATATCAAAATCTATATAATATTATAATGTAATATAATATTATGGTTCTGTGTCAATAGATCATTTTCTGTCTGGCTTTGAGGGCAGACAGGGTTCACTGAGCATCATTCAGTATCATTTATTTTTATTATAATATTGCACAAACATGAAGAGGCGGAGGCAAACTTACAGTTGTTTTTCCACCTCTGTTACAAACTGCTGCGCGGAATACTAGAACGCATCAATGTGCTTTTATTTCAGAAAATAATACTGCATTAGTTTTCATGCCGAGCAATGTTTATTTCGGCGCCTTGACGTCATTCGTCTCATGTCCCGGATGAGAGGATCCGCCCACAGCGCCACCACGCGCTCGAATGACCGTTACACACTTTTCAGTTCATTGTAAAGACCAAAGACAGACAGTCAAACGATTCATGACATATATATCATTCTATTTATGAATATTATTTACTATTTATTTACAAATAACTCTTAGATTTTTTGATACATATCGGACACATGAGAGTTAAATAGCAAATGTTTCTTGTATTTATTCACAACATTCCTTATTATAATGTCTGGTTTTATTTCCACACCACTGCATATCAGAAATATATAAAATATATATAATATTTTTTTTATATATATATTTTAGGTTTTTTTTTAAATGTATATTAGTTTTTTTTTTTTTAAATATGCTGTTAATTTGTCATACTACGTTATTTTCTATTCATTTAAAAAATCCATACGTGTCGTAATTATTTTTCACTAGATGTCAAATAATACTAAACAAACTATTCTTGTATTCTCATTTTGTAAATCGAAAAGACTTTTAATTTGGCGGGTGTTTCCCATAATTCCATCAGAGAGGAAACAGATTGAAGCGGAGCCGCACCGCACATCAACAGAACTAGTACAAATCTGCGATGAGTTTTGAGTGGCCCTGGCAGTATAACTTTCCTCCGTTTTTTACGTAAGTAAATCCATTTGTCAGTGACCGCTGATGGAACAACTAGTATCGTGTCTACAATATTGTCTGAATATTTTGCTCTATTGTAAAATATATACATTTGTACCGTGAATAATGCTGCTGTTTGCATTCCGCTACGGAAGTAATCAAATCACCACCGTTGACACTTCATGCACAGTTCAGTCTCGCGACGGATTAAAGTAAAATTATGTATCACAACTCTTACAGTTGCAATGTGTCATAGATAGAGCATTTAAATGCTGTATGGCATTAACGTTAAATGCTTAGAAAGGTGAAGGGCAGCTAGTGCGATCAGAATAGCCGTGCTTCTGTGATTTACAACAAGAAGAAATTGTAATAAGTTAAAATTGCATTATAAAAAGATTAAAGAGTGCCATGTTTAGTAGAGAACTTGGAAATATTTGGACATTTTGACAATTGCCATTTCCTGACTTGGAAAAGTTATTGTCATTACAACTGTGACAACTTTTGTGACAAAATTAACACAATTTCAAAAGTCATGGAAACGTTTTTTTTTAATACTCAGTCCTGAAGTATTTCTATATAATGATTCTTAGGGTTAGTTCACCCAAAAATTTAAATTATACAATAATTTACTCACCCTATATGACTTTCTCAGCCAATTTAGCTCTTCCCAGCTTAATAATGGGAGTGAATGGTACCACAGATTTTAAAGCGCATTCATCCATCATAAAAGTCATCCATGCGGCCTTAGGGGATAATAATTCCCTTCTAAAGTGAAGCCATGCGTTTGTGAAAGAAAAATATCCATATTTATAACGTTATATAAACTATAATCACTGGCTCCTGTAACGGCTGTATGTTTGTTTAGTTCCGGCAGAAGAGTGACCTCTGACCCTATGGAGTAAATTTTTGGATGAACTAACCCTTTAAAAATACTGAATGCAGTCACATTGAATATTCATCAATAATTTATCCAAATAAAATAGTTAATTATTATGTTGAAGAAGATATTGTTGGAATTCATTTACATCAATAAATGTGACATTCTTGCAAATGTGGCCTCAAATTGTTATTAAGATGGAACTGCCAATCTAATGTTAGGTACAATATAGTTATTGTGTTCATATTGTATCATAAAAAACACAACTATTGCTGCTTTTGAGGTGGGATACGGGTAAGGTTTGGTGGAATGTGTACATGTATGTACACAGTAAGTGTACTGTATCAAATGATTGAGTACATGGTAGTTAAAGACACCCTAATGTTTTATTATGTTTTGCAGATTGCAGCCAAATGTTGACACGAGGCAGAAGCAGCTGTCGGCGTGGTGTTCACTCGCGCTGTCGTACTGCCGTCACCGCAAACTCTACACGCTGGACGTGCTCGAGGCGCAGGAAAGCCCCATGTTCAACAACAAGAAAATTGAGAGTATCCTTTCTTGGACGCCACTGCATCCTACCCGTCTTTGTGTTATTTTTATATGATAAAAGGACATTTTGTGGATTAAGTCTGTTCTTTCACTTGCCATGTATATTTCCCATAACTTGTGTTGTTCAGGAAAACTTTCAGTTGAAGCCATACAAGTAGTTTTTGAAGAGTTGAGAAAAAAAGGTGGGAAGAAAGAAACAAGCTTTTACAAGAAGACATGGTTTCCCAGGTTGTAAAATGAGTTTTTTTGTTCTTTGCTTTGGCGCAGGAAACCTGGAATGGTTGGATAAAAATAAATCACGATGTCTTATAATGTGGAGGAGACCAGAGGAGTGGGGCAAACTCATTTATCAGTGGGTGAGAACGAATATCATGTGCATTATTAAACACAATGTCACTGTGTAAAGTAATGCGAGTTGAGTGTTCAGATCATCACTGAGCTGTTCAACATTTCACAGTTCGTTCTTAAAACAGGACCTTTGGTGCCTGATGAGTATTGCAGATTGAATATTGCACTTTTGCTCAGTCATTTAGGTCTCTGTGGTGGAAAGGCCCTGATATACTTCAAGCGAAATCAAAGAATAGACATGTGTCATTTCACCAATATTGGGTGAATAAAGATATACTTAGCTGATTCTTATTAAAGGGATAGTTCACTTTGAAATACATTTTTGGTATGTTTTAGCTTACCTCAAGGGCATCCAAGATGTAGGTGTCTTTGTTTCTCCAGTATTTTCAGTTTTTTTTATATTTTTAGGTCAAACCGTTCTTGTCAGTCATATAATGGAGGTCTATGGTCACCACCTCAAAGAGCATGCACAGAGAAGTCCAAATTAAACATGATTTAATGACTCGTAAATGTAAGTACACATTGATGGCCTAAGACAAGAAGCGAGCGGTTTGATTGTCTGTTGATATATCGAATTCTCTTCTATTGTGATTTATATCTAAATATATTTAGATCTTCACAGTGAAGGGTAACACTTCTGAAATCTCTTTCTGTAAACAATGAGAGGCTTTCCGGAGCGCTTGTGCAGACCAAAGCGTCCGCATTTGGACGTGGCTGTGTTTACACGAGGTAAAAACGATATATATACTGTTCGTTTTCTCACACAAACCGCTCGTTTCGTGTCTTAGGCCATCAGTGTGTACTTACATTTACGAGTCATTAAATCATGTTTAATTTGGACTTCTCTGTGCATGCTCTTTGAGGTGGTGACCATAGACCTGCATTGTATGACTGACAGACAAGAACGGTTTGACCTAAACATATCAAAATTGAATCTTGGATGCCCTTGAGGTAAGCTAAAACATATCGAAAATTAATTTCAAAGTGAACTATCCCTTTAATTACACTTGCGTTTTTTTGTAGCGACGGAAAAGGAAGTTTACATGTAACCGTGATGTCTTACATTATACGGCAACATTATACTTCTGTAACATTATGTATACTGTCACATTTGATCAGTTTAATGTGTCCTTTGATGAAAACCTGTATTTATCTTGTCATGTCAACTCTGTTTGCTGATGAAAACATTGCATTTCTGTTAAGTTGAGGTGTTCAATTGTTACATGTAGGTTTCCAAAAATGGCATGGTCAACTCTGTGTTTACACTCTATGAACTCGCTAATGGGGATGACACGGAAAAAGAAGGTATGTAATGATGTGTAATGTCAGTAAACATCAGTAAAATAGTATTTCTAATCGTACATCTTTACATATATCTTGCCTGGTTGTGATTTACACAGGTTTGCACTGATCTGTTGTATCTTTCAGAGTTTCATGGACTGGAGGATTGGATGCTGCTGCGTTCACTGCAGGCCCTGCAGGCTGATGGGAAAGCAGAAATCATCTCTATGGATGATGGAAAAGGAGTCAAGTTCTTTTGAATCAGGTTTTCTCGAGTCAGACTTTGGGTTGGGGTGTTGGGTTTCTGTCAGCCCAGCATGATCTTTTCTCTCAGTCCTCTTAGGATCTCGTTTGGTCTGTATATTACACTCCACTGCTACATCAGCTAGTCATTATTTGGCACATGAGCCCAAACTACATGCAAGGGTCTTCCTTGTTGGAACTTATTTAAATTGGTGGTTTTACACCGGTCAAAACTGGAGTCGAGATTTTGTGCTTCGCCATTATGCATAGAAAGCGAAATGTCAGACCAAAACTAAGGAATATCGAATATCTTAATCTAGATTAAATTTGAGACTAAATAAATTTGTGTACATATGTTTTTATTTCGCTCCTGTTATCGCTGTCGACCCTGACTCTAGAACCACAACGCCAAAAGACGGTCTTCTAATCTCAGACGCGGCTTTTGCGATGCTTCCTGGCTAAGATAAAATGTCTTGTTTCTGATTGCGGTGGAATTCATATCAACAACATTTTGCTGAAATCTGGTTGCATTAATCCCTTTTCCCCGACTGTCATTGTATCTTACCACCTTTTATACCTATGTAATACTGTACAAATAAATGGAGACGTTTTCAGTTCTCTCCTGAAAATGCTCTGTGTTTGTCTTTACTGAAGAGCGCTTGACTTATATTTAATATTTTATATTTATATGCAATTATCATGTGCTTCGGGTAAGCATTGAACCACGGCAAAGTCATCATGCTCTATGCTTCTGATACGCTGTAATTATTACTGTTGCTCATGGTTTGGGTAAAGAGTTTTACAGAGTTAGTCTCTGGGATATGTACAGAAATGTTTAAAAGTAAAATCTATTTTGTACAATGCACATAAAATCATTTTAAATAGCATTTAATTTAACCTGTTAACTGAATACCCCCTTTTTCGAATATACTTGAAAATGGACATTTCGAACTTAAACGGTTGTAATTCAAGAATGCTTTGGAATATAGACGTACGATTGGTCTCGTTTTAAGTGAAGAAGTGAAATTAATTAAGAAAGTGAAACAAAAAAAGTGTTAGAAGTTTGAGTTTATTAAAATGTACAATATATTTAAAAAAAGAATTATTTGTATTTTATATAAAATATATATTTTCAAAACCTGGACGACTCTAAAACTGCAAAAAATAAATAAATAAATATATATATATATATGAATAGGTTGTGTTTCAAATTTTAGGTTGATTTCTAAAAATATGAGCTCAAAAATGAGCTTTCAGTGAGATTTTGTTTGGGCGCAGTACCAAACTTTTTCACTAGATGACAACCAGACTCCATTGCTGCCCATATAAGGCACATCCATTTCCATAAGTGCTTTTATTGATATTAACCATTATTATAGACATCCTATTCAGAAAAAAATATGAGACGTTTGGCAGATTTTGATATGAATTCAACCTAAGTAACACAAAAAGTATGTGAATAATAGCTCGCTGACGCATCTCAAATGTTGAATCTATCATTTTTTTTTTCTTTGTAGTCCAAAATAATGCAGACATTTTTTTTTCTAAAATAATTGAATGGATGCAATCTTTTGAACCCTTGGCATGAAAACAAACTGAGGTTTCTATCCTTCTTTCATGATTTTTCATGTTTATCACAATTTCAAAATAAAGGTCTGAACACGTCTTAGTAGCATGAAAATATTCTTGTTGCAATTTGATAAATTACGGCTCCTCTGTCAATCAAAAATCAATCACCAAATATGGAAACTAGAGATTGTTTGCTTTCAAACGATATATAGTTTGTCAAGATTAGATTAGGTTTAGTAGAGGATAATACTGTTTTTTAAATGTATTGGATTTGGGCCCGTGACACTTAAAAGGTTAATAATTGTTGGACAAAATGTATCAGATTGGTGGCTTGAAATTGAAGTTTAGTAATCACAATTGTGACGTATATCCAAGGGAAACAGCTTCTCGAACTTAAAACATTGATTGAATGGTTGTGGTTTGCTATTGGTGGATCTCATGAGAGTCACAGGTTGCCCCGCCCAATGCCGTCAGAGAGGACAAGAGTTTATTACTTACAAATTTTAGTCCATTACAGAATACGAGTTGCATGATAAAATTTGTAGCTTGAAATGTAATCCATTACACATTGTTGGTAATGTAATCTGACTACTTTTGATTACTTTTGACCTATCTTGTTTATAACATTGATTTAAACTGGACAATAGACAGAAAAATTATTCTTTTTTTTATCGACAACTTAAAATGCATTAAACATTGCATTATGTTAAACATTACATTATGTTTGGAGAGGAACTACAGGGGGTTCATAAATGTATGAAAGGCTAATAATTAATTAAATCATAGTTAAAGGAGCTAAACGCAAGTCTCTAAGTTTTTGCAGAACTACGCCCCCTCTGGCGACAAGCGAAACTGCAACCAGAGCTGTGCGCGTTCATGGAGGAACACACACACACATACGCACGTTTGCACGAGCTGTTCATAACCATAGACTGTTCATAACTAAGGAGCATCAGCCGCACACTGTGCGGCACACATCTTTTGTTACAGTCATAATGAGGTAATACAGTAATAAATCTGCAAGTCATTTAAAATATATGAAAGGAAAGGCATTCGAGTAAATTACACACTTGTGTAAGAGGGGGAAACGGGGGTAGTAGAAAACTTCGGTTTTTGTTTCCATCTATCTCCCTGTGCTTACTGTATCCACTTATGATTGAATTATTATGGAAACACGTTCAGTTATCACTTTGTATAGGTAATGACCCGTTTGAGCCATAGAGACGACCGGAGATCTCTCCGTTTGTTGAAAGCTTCCCGATGTTGACTCTCGTCTTATTCCGACGCATGGCACTGGACAGACAGAAGTTTTATTTTCTGTCTCACGTGGAGTTTGCGTTGGGGTTTGTAATGAGCTACAAGCCGGTCTCTTTCCGCGCCATATACAGATTTAATGAAGTGCACGTCACCGAAAGCAACAGATATGAGCTGGATTTTATTAATCATCGGCTAATTTCAAAATCAGCAAAGACAGCAATAAGAGAGATCGGCAACAGAACTGGTAAGATCATTTCATTTCTTTACTTTTAATGAAGATGGTAGTGTTAAGCGTCTGCGACTTACTTTCACTTTGATTTGCGATAGATTGCGGCGCTTGATGAAGGGGCTCAGCTCAGCTGCTCAGGTGATGCGCGTCGTCATATATGACTAAAATATCATGACATATAGCTTGGTTTCAACAACCAGATGCATTTACACTTGTCCAGTTTCGTCTGGAATGCGGCCCAGACCACGTCCTCAAGTGGTTTGAGCGATCGAATTCAAATCCGTCTCGAATGCGTTTCGGAGGGCATTTACACCCTGGTCTTTTCACGATCGAATAGCTATCCGATCACAGAAGACACATGAAGTGACCAGGCGTAAACAGCCCCTTTGAATCCATCGTCTACTTTTGTGGAAAGCTGACTAGAGTTGTGTCGCTCGAGTTGTCTTCTCTGATACGGAGAACGGCGGCGAACACGAACCTGCCAGACATAGCCAGGCGAGCGTGAACGCGCATGACGTCACGCCCAGTCTCAGATTCGAGCCCGAATCCCTCTTATATATTTCACTGTACAGGGTTATAGAGGCGATCGCAGTGATCAAAGAAGGGCTCATTCAGCCCATCAGGCGATTGTTTAAGCATGTATGGGTTAGAAAACGGCTATTTTTAACATGAAAAGTTGCGCAATGCACCTTTAAGTTAAATTAAAATAATTCATTTTCAAATAAATCAAACTAAAAAATTAGCAAAAAAAAAAAAAAAAAAAAAGAGAGAAAATATTTGATTTGTTTTTGCTGTGCGGCCTTTCAGTTTTCCATGTACGTATAGTTGCCTGACCAGTGGCCGGTCTGCATACAGCTCCATAAAACAGGACATTTAAATGATAAAAAATAAGATTTAAGGAGAATCAATGAATTCTGAATATTTTACTGCTGTTTTGTGAAAAATAAATATGGTTAAATTCTGATTATGAGTATTTTAAAAAAAGTGTTATAATCTCATTACAGTATTTTTTTTTTTTGGAATATTATTATGCAATCCAGATAATTTATAAATTTACATATATTTTTTAAATTCAATGACCTGTTTTTACTTGTGACAGTCAGTGAGAGTGAAAGAGAGACGCGAGGTGGCGCTCACGTGCGTGCCAAAGGATCATGAAACAGCGTCCTCTGCTGAACATCGCTTTACAAAATTATGCAACAAACGTTTATTAATCCTCCCTGAGGGACAGTTTCGTGTTGACCACACATCATGCAATTATAATACATTTTTAATTTGAATTAATCAAATAGGCATACATTTTGCAACCACTGTAGCCTATGGTATGGAATATACAATAGTAATGTGTTGAAGTACAGGAGGGAAGTTTCACATAATGTTCTGTGCTCTGAGTAAATGATATCCTCAGGTATGAATGATGCTTTATATGGTTGGTAGAGGTTTCTGGCACCGCTTGAAATTGTGCTGAATGTGAGCTGTCCCTCAGACCTGTTCCAGTTTAGATGGGCCAGAGTTCATAAATACAATCTAGTGTCTTTAGAGCAGATGTTTACTATGGTTTGCAGAAGGTTTTTTTTCTCATGATTGTGTCTATAGATAAACAACATACGATGTATTGCTATTGGTGTGCTTTGTTGGTTTTGGATATGAAGCTCTGTGACATTTCTGTTTTAATTTGGCCCATTCTTCTGTTGTAGACATTGTGAATCAAAATCATTATTAGGGTCATGAAACAAAAATGTTATGTTTTGGAGCTACTTAATTTTAGCAAAACATTTTTAGTGTTTTTTTTTTTAGATGTGGAATGTTGCTTTAATTAGGTGACCAAAATAATTCAGACAAAAACATGACAAGTTGAGCCCTTTTTAAATATATTAAGCTATTATTAATTGTATTTTGGGGGCAGAATAATTCTTTAATAATCGTGTCCTAAATCCAGCATGAGAAAAAGCCTAAAATAGGCCACCCAGACTCAGTGGGGTGTGTGGCTTTCAGCTCATATCTAAATGCGATATGTATATGAGTGTGTATGAATAACTATGAAAGTCAAGGGCAACTTTAATGGTAATTTAATAAACTCTCAAATGTCCCCTATTGATTTCTCGATTGTCAATTTATATGATAAAATAAATACACATGAATTATAAAAAGATGAGTTTGTTAAGCAAGGCTTGAGAAATTGTAATGTCGTTTTATAGATCTTTATATGAGAACATAGACCTGCGACGATCATATCTGGGTGGCCTCTAATAATTGACCCCCCACGTGATCCGGTTCAAGCGATTTAATCATGCCCCATATAGTCAAAATCACTCAAAAGAACGGATCGGACATCGCAAACGAACCGACACGTTCTGATGGCACAGATAGATCTAGGCACTTACTTTACTCAAGCCTGCAGTGAAACCCAACGCTCTGCGGGACTCACTCACTCAGGTGAAGGGGGCGGAGTCAGCCGCTCGCGCACTGTGAAGAGCTGTAGGGCACGCGCGCCTCTGCAGAATGCGAAGCGACCGCGCGCGTGTGTGGAGAGACTCGAGTGTAATGAGCTATTAAAATTCTGAGGTGATTTCAGACTGCGCTAAAGGTAAATCTAAGTTCACTAGCGCGTTGTGTGGACGTTACATATTAAATATGAAGAACTTTAAATATTTTATGTCGTCGTTGTTGTTTTTATAGCCTAATTTGCTGTTATATTTGTCATATTTTCTTGTAAAAGTGAAGAAAAGGCGCAACCGTCATAACTTGATGCTGTGCTTTTAACGCGCGCGCTTGTTTATTTGTCTTTCTCCATCCAGTTTGTGATGCTTTGAACGGTCCTCATCATGTCTCATGCCGAAGTTGAGTTCGCTGGACGTGGTTTTCCAGGTTTACCTGTTGAATTAGAGGAGGACTGTCTCCCTAGAGTGCCAAGGCTGCGAACGCACTCCTTGAGCGCGAGGAGGAACTCATACGTGCTTCATAAACTCAGTGTGGATATTGACCCGCAAATATACACTGAGACACTCTCCAAAGCGCTGTCATGGTCTTCTGAAAACATTTTATCAGAGAGAACAACTGAGGAAGGTAAAACATCTCCAAGTTCTCCATCTTTGGTCTCCAGCCCAGAGTCTTCTACACCCAACGCCAACCCAGCAGCTCCAGGGGACTGGAGAAGCTCTGTCCAGACGCCTCTGACCCCGGCCAGTTCAGATTCGGACAATGAGGGGTCCAAGGTCGAGCATGTGGTTCCACGACGCCCACTTGTTAGCAGACTGGAACAGGACGAGAAAGAGGACATCGAGACCAAAGCGGTGGCCACCTCACCGGATGGAAGGTATCTGAAGTTCAACATTGAAATTGGGAGAGGGTCGTTCAAGACGGTCTACAAGGGGCTGGACACTGAGACCACAGTGGAAGTGGCATGGTGCGAGTTACAGGTAAGGTCTCTTTCTTTAAAGGTATGGCAATGTTTTGGTTATGTGGGATAGTCCATCCATGCCGGTTTAGACATCAGTTTGCAGTCATATATTGGTGTTGGCGAGGCTAATGATTTTTAGACCTAATGCACATACAATTTACTATATTTAAAGCAAATGGAGCTGATGTTCCAGATGTGTGGCTTACACGTCTATTGATTTCTGCATGTGGACTATTTTAGCTGCCTTGCGTGGAGTGTTTTTGTCCTGAACAGAAATCTAAAATTAAGAGCCACGAACCAAACCAATCCACTCCGAGATTAATCGCAACATTGTAACATTTGATTCGCAACAAATCGTCATTGACATATGGAAAACAAAAATTGTGAATTTGCTCTTCATCCCATAAAGCATTGAAAATTACATTATCAACAGTACAGTAAATAAATAAATTATTTATTAAATTTATAGTCCTTTAAGTATAAAAACAAATTAACAAATTGCAAGAGCTCAGTTTCTCAGTCGGAACTTGGAAGGTTCCATTTGTTAACTTTAGTCAACATGAATTAAGAACAGTAAAGTATGCATTATTCTGAAAAAGCTCAATCACTTTATATGATGAACAGATTAATTTAGGCTTTTATTCACATTGTTCAGCGAACATAAACAGAAGCTCAACAGAACCTTCTTGACATGCGAGAATGAACCTCATTGGTTCTCGCACGTCAAGCGAACATGCTTGAGCTTCCATTTACCACAACTGATGTGTGAGTAGATGAATGTTTATATGTAAATAAAAGCTTAAATTCAATCTATTCATCATATAAAGTAGAGCCATACCGATATATCGGCCGGCCGATATTAGGCATTTTCCATAATATCGGTATCGGCAGTTATAATGGCCGATAAATGAATATTTAAAAAATAAAAACGGACGAAACACGCTTCAATCATCTCTCCTTGGCCTGTTATATTGAAAATGTATGTTTTACAATTTGCAGTATGACGTTATCTATTGCTAAATTATGGCTCATCATAGACTAGCTAACCACAAAGCTAGCTAATGCCACAATCATCAGTGGAAGACCGCTAACGTTAACATTAATGAGCTTGGAAACCACAATGAACTTTTTCTGCCTAAATAAAGTAATGATTACCGTATTTATAACTAGCATATCTCTAGTTACAGTCCCTGTATTGTAAAATGTAAGTTATACTTGCGAGGAGTGAACATTTAGACATAGAGAAAAAGTATCAAACGTATCTTGTGGAGAAAAGTTAGCTTTTCTTTTACACGTGTGTGAAATCCAACAATATTTAATAAAAAATAAATAAATAAATAAATAAATAATCGGCCGATATATCGGAATATCGGATTTTAAAACCCCAAAATATTTGTATCGGTATCGGCCTTCAAAATCCTTTATCGGTCGGGCTCTAATATAAAGCGATCAAGTCTCTTCAGAAAATGTACTAAACCACTCACTTCATATGGATTAGTTTTACAATCTCTTTTTGAAGCGTCAAAGTGGTAGTTGCACAGACTGTCAATGGAGGGACAGAAATCTGTTGGATTAAAAGATCTTCATTTGTGTTCCAAAGATGAACGAAAGTCTTAGGGTTTGGAACGACTTGAGAAGGAGTAAATAATGACAGAATTGAAGTTTTTGTGTGAACTATCCCTTTAAATTAGTATTTTTTCCCTGATTTTTGGGAAGTTATGGGTAGTTTTTAACTGGGCAGTTAAATGTTAAAACTTGTTTTTTCCCTCCCCAACAAATGGAAATCAAGTTGAATTTCTCCTTTTGCAGAAGTGAATACTAGGCCCTATCACAGCTTGTGGAAGGTTTGTCCTGAAAAGTTAATTAAAACCAATATCTTGACGGAGATTATCGATGTGATTTTTCATACATCCGGAGCCCTGATCTTCGCTCAGGTTCAGGTTCAGGACCAGGTGCAACAACTGTCCCACTGAGCAAGATGCTCTCGTATATTTATTTTTTTCTGTCTGTAGGGGTATTTGTGAAATCACTTGTCCAGGTTTGTCTACTTTCTCCTGTTTCTCTTTGACCTTGATCAGCATTCTGTCGAGCAGCAGCAATGAAGCGCGTCAGAGTCAGGCAGCAGGCGGTCACTCTTTCCACACTTAACTGTGTTAACTTAACACATGCCTTCCACACGTCTCTGCGTTCATTAAGAGAAACGTTCTCTCACAGACTCACATACACACGTACTCGCGTTCCCTCACAGTCCTCCAGAGGATCACTGTTTCGGGTTGCTCTTTTGATTATCTCTGTTGTGCTTTATTTTTAATATCAACTTTTCAGATGTTTCCTAAAATGCCTTAAGAACAAATGATTCTGAATACAGAGCTGCATGTAAAATGAATGTTGATTGCATAGTATGGATTATTTGGTATTGGAAGAATTAATAAATTTAAAAAAAAAATAATAATAAAAAATAGAAAAGAACCTCATTGGCTCTTTCAGAAGCTCAAACGTGCTCCGTAACACGAGAATGAACCTCATTGGCCTCCAATATGGATTATTTGGTTTTGGAAGAATTAATTTAAAAATTAAATAATAATAATAAAAATAGAAAAAAAAAAAATATATATATATAAATAAATGAAGAGTTCAGATGCAAAAGCCTCTAAATGCCATTTGAAATTTTCTTCTAAAATGACCATTTTTATCAAGCTTGTATATTTAAGTTCAGTAATTTCACTTAAATAACAATTAATAGGTAATCTTCATTGCCGTTTAAGTGAAATTACTGAACTTAAATATACAAGCTTGATAAAAATCATCATTTTAGAAGAAAATTTCAAATGGCATTTAGAGGCTTTTGCATCTGAACTCTTCATATACATACTTTATATATATACTTTATATTATGTTTTAAAATAATTATAATATAAAATATTATTTCATAAGGGCAAGTTTTGATATTTTTTTGAATGCAGTATTTTTAAGATAATAATTTAGATCATATATTTTTAAAATGCAGAGAAATTTCAAAGGAAGACATTTGTTAAATTGTTGCTGTTTTTAATCAAACTGAACTGAAGTAAAATTTTATAGGAGTGATGCTATATCTTTTTTTGAAGCTTGAAAATTCATTGACTTAAAAAAATGGACAAATAGAAACTTGTGTTTCGAAGATTCGAAGTTTAGAACGACATATGGAAACTATCCCTTTAATGGTTTGGATCCATTTTAATAATACTATGCTGGCTTTTGGAAAACATGTTTTGTTTTGATAGGACTGATACGAGTGGAACAGGGCTGAGTTGGCAGAGTTATTCAGAAGTGTAAACACAGTTAAATGTGCACATGAGGAGGATTCTTTGCACCTGTTTCTTTCTAGCATCATGTCGTCCTGTGATGATGGGGGTTTCTCAGGGGAAAGTGAGGCCAGGATCACGCCTCTATTAAACCCGGCGCTGGGATTGATGTATCAGGTGTGACTCAGGACATGCTGATAACTTGAAACTCTCAAAATGCTCCCAATGCCTGAAGGTCACATTGCTAGTATTCTGAGGGAATTGCTGTAATATCAGCTTGAACTAAACAGGAGCTTTGGGTTTGTGACACAGAAGTGATCTTTAAAGGATTAGTTCTTTTAAAAAATGAAATTATGTCATTATTTAGCCAACCTATTTTTTCAGTGTCATTTCAAACCTGTATGATTTTCATTCTTCCATTGAGCACAAAAGGAGATGTTTTGAAGAATGTTCACGCTTCTCTTTTTCAATACAACAGCCACAAATAAAGGGCCTGTTAAGTAAAAAAAAAAAAAAAGCATGATAAAAATAGTCCATATCTCATGCAAATTTTGTGTGAAGTCAATATAAACTGATAATTTTGTATACATGATACGTCGTTAATAATGACCATATGGGTTTGACATGAGGGTGAGTGAATTATGACATTTTTGGGTGAAAAAAATCTTTAATTGCTATAATATCAACATGCCTTTTGTATTATTATTTATGAAAAGTTTTAGTCTGAATTTTTTGTTTTTTGTTTTATTTTATTTGATTGTTTATTTAGTTGTTATTTTAGTACCACAACAACCTAACTTTAATGTTTTTTTTTAAATATATATATATATTGAAAATATTTTTTTGGTTTTAGTTTTAGTTAATGATAATAAACCTGAATAGCAACTATGGGGATCAAAGTGAGCTTCAGGCTAGGGATTGATTGAACTTCAGGCTAGGGATTGATTGAACTTCAGGCTAGGGATTGATTGGGATTTTGTCTCATTTTGACTCAGTAATTAGTGAGCAACTGTTGCTTTTGCAGATTTCTCTTTTAAATCACTTAATAATGCATTTGACTCTATCATCTTGAGCTGACCGATAGCAGCCGGTGGTCTGACCTTGTGCATGGCCACACACACAAACCTATGATGACTTTCCAGATCAATTCTCCTCGTTTGGTTCTGCAGACAGTATCCATGATACACAAACAACATGTTTATGCATCAATGCCATAGAATAACCATTTTTGGTTCCCCAAAGAACCTTTCAGTGAACAGTTCTTAAAAGAACCGTTTTTTATAGCGTGAAGAACTTTTTAAAATTCTAAAGAACCTTTTTGAACCTTTTGCACAATGGAACAATGGAATGTTCCATTGATGTTTAAGGTTCTTCATGAAACCATCGATAGCAAATAAAGAACCTTTATTTTTAAAAGTGTAGTGGTTTTCACTGCAGGTTATTAATTTAATCCTTTTGTTTTAGGAAGATTAGGAAGATTTAGAATTAGGAAGATTACAAGCAGTTTGTCATAAGAGTCAAGTAGTTTTTGTTTTCATTTCAATTTTTAGGTAAAGTTTGAATAATTTTGTTTATACTTTGTATTATTTTTTCTTAAAAAGTTTTTGTTTTTAGTTTTATTTGAAAAAGAAGTGTATTTAGTAGTTATTTTAGTACTTTGGAGACAGGACCTTGTTTTGTTTTCTGAAGTATTGAAAATGTTGTAATGGTTTAGTTTTAGTTATGATAATATATA